TAAGACGACCGCTGGGGTACATCAGCAACGACAATGACTTCTCTGTCTGTCTCTCTCTCTCTCTCTCTCTCTCTCTCTCTCTCTCTCTCTCTCTCTCTCTCTCTCTCTCTCTCTCTCTCTCTCTCTCTCTCTCTCTCTCTCTCTCTCTCTCTCTCTCTCTCTCTCCTGAATCGCTGTTTTACACATAATGCAAATTAGTCTCGCACTTCGGTACAAATCCAAGAGTCTAATATTTATTTACATAAATCCCCGGTGTTCCACGATAACAGATGTAAATCCCCAGTGTTCCACTATCATGTATGCCTCCGGTGTTCCAGGATTTATATAAATCCCCGGTGTTCCACGATAACAGATGTAAATCCCCAGTGTTCCACTATCATGTATGCCTCCGGTGTTCCAGGATTTATATAAATCTCCGATGTTCCACAGGGATGGATTTAAACACTTAGCATTCCACCGTGAAAGATTTCAACCTCGGATATAATGAGCTTGAGGATTGCAACATGCCTCTAATATAATGAGACGAGGCTTGGAACATGCCTCTAATATAATGAGACGAGGCTTGGAACATGCCTCTAATATAATGAGACGAGGCTTGGAACATGCCTCTAGTATAATGAGACGAGGATTGCAACATGCCTCTAATATAATGAGACGAGGCTTGGAACATGCCTCTAGTATAATGAGACGAGGCTTGGAACATGCCTCTAGTATAATGAGACGAGGATTGCAACATGCCTCTAATATAATGAGACGAGGCTTGGAACATGCCTCTAGTATAATGAGACGAGGCTTGGAACATGCCTCTAGTATAATGAGACGAGGCTTGGAACATGCCTCTAATATAATGAGACGAGGCTTGGAACATGCCTCTAGTATAATGAGACGAGGCTTGGAACATGCCTCTAGTATAATGAGACGAGGCTTGGAACATGCCTCTAATATAATGAGACGAGGCTTGGAACATGCCTCTAGTATAATGAGACGAGGCTTGGAACATGCCTCTAGTATAATGAGACGAGGCTTGGAACATGCCTCTAGTATAATGAGACGAGGCTTGGAACATGCCTCTAGTATAATGAGACGAGGCTTGGAACATGCCTCTAATATAATGAGACGAGGCTTGGAACATGCCTCTAGTATAATGAGACGAGGCTTGGAACATGCCTCTAGTATAATGAGACGAGGCTTGGAACATGCCTCTAGTATAATGAGACGAGGATTGCAACATGCCTCTAATATAATGAGACGAGGCTTGGAACATGCCTCTAGTATAATGAGACGAGGATTGCAACATGCCTCTAATATAATGAGACGAGGCTTGGAACATGCCTCTAGTATAATGAGACGAGGATTGCAACATGCCTCTAATATAATGAGACGAGGCTTGGAACATGCCTCTAGTATAATGAGACGAGGATTGCAACATGCCTCTAATATAATGAGACGAGGCTTGGAACATGCCTCTAATATAATGAGACGAGGCTTGGAACATGCCTCTAATATAATGAGACGAGGATTGCAACATGCCTCTAATATAATGAGACGAGGCTTGGAACATGCCTCTAGTATAATGAGACTGAGGCTTGCATCATCCCTCGCGTATAATGAGCCCCTGACTTACAAACACCTTGGGAATAATGTACAAGATAAAAAGAATTTACCTTATCTGCTGCGGCCAATCCCAAGGTAATTTATGTTTCTAATCCACAAGGAACGAGGCGAAGAGATGTGAGATGGAGGGAAGGATAAGAAGGAAGGGAAGGAAGTGAAGAAAGAAGAAGGAAGAGCGATAGCGAGAGAGGAAATGAAAGCACCGGAGAAGGAGGGGATTGAAAGCAAAGAAGAATTGGAGAAAGTAGGGTGGAACAGGACGGAAAGGGGTGATGGAGGAAGAGATGTAGAGAAAGAGAGAGAGAGAATGGGATAAAGAAAGACAGAGAGGTAATAGGTACCATGGAAAAGGGTATATTTTGAGGTACGATGGAACAGAATAGTGCTGAAGTACCACGGAACAGATCCGTGTAAGATACCATATGGGACAGAACATTCGCTATATTGTTTGGTAACGAAAATGTTTAGAAATTGAACTTAAAATTAAACATTCAAATGAAAACATTGCTGGCGCGCATTGCGTTGGGTAAGCTTCGTTTATTTCCAGCTGGGTGTTGCATATTTCGACACCGAGTCCTGGAGGCTGCCACTCGAATCCAGTTAGGTTAGGTTAGGTTAGGTAGGGTTAGCTGGATGCCTGGGTTCTTCCAGAGTCACTCCCCTGTCACTTCCAGTCCCCTCCAGAACCACTATACTGTCACTTCCAGGCCCTCCAGAACCACTATACTGTCACTTCCAGGCCCCTCCAGAACCCCTATACTGTCACTTCCAGGCCCCTCCAGAACCACTATACTGTCACTTCCAGGCCCCTCCAGAACCACTATACTGTCACTTCCAGGCCCCTCCAGAACCACTATACTGTCACTTCCAGGCCCCTCCAGAACCACTATACTGTCACTTCCAGAACACTATACTGCCCCTCCAGAACCACTATACTGTCACTTCCAGGCCCCTCCAGAACCACTATACTGTCACTTCCAGGCCCCTCCAGAACCACTATACTGTCACTTCCAGGCCCCTCCAGAACCACTATACTGTCACTTCCAGGCCCCTCCAGAACCCCTATACTGTCACTTCCAGGCCCCTCCAGAACCACTATACTGTCACTT